ATTGGATCCTCAGACCCTCTTCCTTTCTCCCTCTATGGATTTTTTTTGCACCACATCCAATTTGTGATTTCTATTACCTGAGATTTATAGAGCATATATATCCGTATAGACCATATATTCAATTCCACATAGGACTTTCCCACTTGAATATACAATAAGCAACTCAAGCTTAGTACTTCTAAAATTAAACTCATCATCTTTCCATCAAACTCCTCTCTTCTTGTCATATCACCTTTGTCTACCCATGTAGTCCTTGAAGCTAGAAGCCTGGGACATGTTTTGAGTTATCCTTCTCATCTATCAATGTCCATTTTCTCCCTCTCTTTTTTTCCAGTCTCCCTAATTTTGCTCTAATTGTTATAATTAATGTCTTTTAAGTATTTGCATGTGCCAGCTACTGATTTAAATACATTACATATTTTAACTCCTTTAATCTTTAAGTAACCCTACTATTATTGTTGCTCCCACTTATGGATAAGGAAATTAAGGAACACAGAAGCAAAATAACTTTCCCAAATATCATACTGACAGGCAGAGGAGGAGACTCAGGCCCAGGAACCAAGATTCTGGGATCCCACAGTTAAAAGAAGATGCAAGGCTCTGTGGGAATATTGGTCATCCTTTATCTGGTGTGGCAATAGTCCCTAACCAGTCCCTAAGCCATTTACATAGGCCCTTTTTATATGCAGGTCAAACAAAGAAGGCACACTGCCAACAGGTTACATAAGAAAATGTTATGACCTTGAGTACGTATGTTAAATCAAAGTGTTAATGACCTTGACTACACACTAACCATAACAACTGATTCAGGACCTTGACTACATACTGAAAGCTTTAGTGAGGGAGCCTAAGCCATTTTTTGCCTGCCTCAACATGCAATTAAATAAATAAAAAACCAGGATTTGAACCAAGGCAATGACTCTAGAGCTGTTTTTGTTTGTTTGTTTGCTCATATTTGTTGCTGTGGTGGTGGGTTTTGGCAGTGCTGGGGATCAAATCCAGGACCTCACACACATTGAGCACATGCTCTTCCACTGAGATACACCCCCAATCTAGAGCACTCAACTGCTCTAACTTCCGATTTTCACTGTCACTGTTTATTTTATTATTATGGAAAGCTTCTTGATTAGTTTTTCTTCTCTAGTCTCACTGACTTCTCTTCCAAATTTCCTTTCTCTCGTGATATTACACCATAGAAATCTTTCTAAGATGCTATCTAATCATGGTAGTCTGCTGCCTAAAATCAGTGCTTCTCTGTCACCTTCAGGCTCAAGTTGCAACTCTTTCATGCTACACATGCTACTTCAGGATCTGCCACCTCTACAGCTTCTTCTGAAACTCTTCACAGACGTGGAGCCACGCAGCCATACCAGAGCACTCAAAGTTTCTGAACACACTTTCCTCCTCCTTCCACTCCTTGTTTTTGCACTCACTCATAACTCCTACCAAGGTCAGGTTGTTAGGAGAATAGCTCCACGATTCCCAAGGGTTGAATGGGTGCCCCTCTGGGTTTTCCGGCTCTATTATTGTCCTTTTCACACAGCATGGTAAAGGTAAATGTACTCTTCTCTCTCCTTTACTGGCCTGAATAACTTTTTTGAAGGAAGTGTAGGTTCTTTGTGTCTGGAGTACCACCTTTGTGCTTGGTGCAAAATCATTACCCAGTAAATCATCAAATAAAGATGAACTAAAGAATGTGACTGCTTCTTTTTCTTTCATGATGTTTTCCTAAACAAAGCCTAAAACAATGAGATCCCTTATACATGCAGGGGAAATGTATCTTGGAGTGGTTCACAATAATACAGAGGCCACATTGTCTGATATGGCACTTCTTAGAGATGGACAGGAGGGTCTGAAGGAAAAATAGGTGGTTCAAGAAAAAACAAAACATGCATATATTTACCTCAGGGAAGGGGGCAACTTACAACTTAGGAATAGTTATATTGGGATATAGAATATGTTCAATATTTTTGGTGGTTGTTTTTAAAGGCCATAACTAAGGAATTGTAAAAGGGTGCCTTTGCATGGGGTTGCTTTTTGGGAAAGTTGATGCAAAAATTCTTGAGTTGCAAAATTTTTAAAAAGCAGAACACAGCAGTTGCTTGTATTTTATAGGATTCAGGTGCCTTTGTGACAGGCAGTCAGAAGTGAAATTACCTTCACTGTTCTTGGTTCAGTCTGTTCTCTGCTCCTAATCATCCCTTCAAACCCACACACATTAGGCAGAGCAGTTGTCCTTCACCACTAAAGAAAGGCAGCTGAGACTTATGTTACCGTGGAAACAGAATCACTTTTTGCTGCAAGACACCTCGCTTCATCGGCACTATTATGAAGCAGAATACATTGGTAGGGCTGGGAGGAGAATCAAATATTCTGCCTGTCAGTGTTATACTCGGCCTTTGGGCGAATAAATGACTTTCAATTAGAGCATTTAAATATCTTTCAACTTTGATAATTATTATTAGAGCCCCAACAGAATTTTACTTGGAAAAGAGTAAAGAAATGGATTCTGCTGTTAAGGGGGAGAGTTAGAAATTCTTTTAAACTGGAACTCATCTGTTAAAGAACATATGAGGGAGTTGGCAATTAAAGGTGTAATTGTTTGTAAAATGAGTGACTTTGTCTTTGTTTTCTGGCTTTCTGATTTGATCAAAGCATGGGTTTCTGAGTCTGTTTCTCTCTCTCTCTCTCTCTCTCTCTCTCTCTCTCTCTCTCTCTCTCTCTCCACACACACACACACTGTTACCTTGTCTGTAGTAAATATAACATCTTTGCAGCTTCATCTTGTCTTAGAATGTGTGTCCTGGGATCCTTTGCTCTTGA